TGGCCACGAGACTGAGATTCTGAGGAATTGGAAAATATGTGAGAACAAATATTCACAGGAAATGGAGGCTGGATCTCCAGGACCACCAACAATTCCCCTGTGAGTTTTTGTTTTAATGGCGAGATGATTAATCTTTATTTAACAACATTCGAGACAGTTTTCCTTCAATATTTTGTATGACATCCCATAGTTAGAGTACACAAGGGTGGTTTGAGAGCAGTGTGACAGTGCAGCTAAGTGATCCATTACATGTTTAGAAAAGCATTAGAGAACATTCTCAGGGTGTCTCTGCGTGTTTGCAGCTGCGTTTGCTATCGACCCTATCACCCTGACTCTGTTTATCTGCTATAGGGCTCTTCTTGTATTCTGTTTCCCACTGGGCTTTACACTGACACTCACACACACACACACACACACACACACACACACACACACACACACACACACACACACTGAGATGAGAGCAACACAGCGAAATTTACTGTCATACAAACAAACACACACAATCAGGATCCTGAGAAAGTGCAATGAGAGAGCAGGTGTCAGTTTTCACATGAGCCTCTCATGGGGGCTCAGAGAGTAAACATCAGCACAAGTTTTTTCCGAGCTCTCGGCGACGTTGTTCTTCTCACAGCCTCCTCCTAAAAACCTTCAAATTGACTAGGAGCCCCTCTACCTGCATGAGGAGGTGGGAAAGCTTCAACGTCACAGCTCTCACCGACTCATCACATCACAAATCCACGCTGTTCTGCCGCCGCGTCTCAGCTGGGGTTATTTGTGTTTGAGATGAATCTTATTGTTGCCACATGGACAGAAATGATCTCTACAACAGTTTATGCCTCTTTGAATTAGCTCTGGTTATATATATTTCTTTAATTACAAACGTATCTTTTGGCTAACCTTTAGCTACTACTGGGCTAACTTTTAGCTATATTTCACAGTCAACATACAGATGTTTTTGCCTAACATTGTTATTTTTTAGATACATTTTATATTTATTTAGTTGGATTCCACTTATATATGTCAAATTTGGTGATCTAAATCATTCTGTTCTAATGCCTTCACTTACCTGTTGAGTATTATTTTTAAATTTAGCTGTATATACCTATGCATTTTTGGTTATGTTTCATTTAAAACTATTTGTGGTCTAATATTATTTATCTTTAGTTAATGATTCGCTTGTTTAGCCAATTTTAAACTATTCCTGTACTTAATTATACTTCATTTATTGGGCTCACTTTTAGTTGTATTTCATAGTCAACATTCTGCATTTTCCCTTAATTTATTATTTTGTGGTTACATTTTTGATATATTTATAGATTTCTTATATTTAAATATAGGGCTTATCTTGCTAGTTTTTAAAAAAAAAACTTTTTTTTTTTGTTATTCATCTTTAGCTCATGTTTTGCCAGTTTTAATTTTTTTAACTACTGTATTTCTATTTTATTCTGGTTATTTGCCAATTTTATTTTTAAATGAATTTTTAGCTGTGTTTTATTATATTGGATAATTTTTCCTAATGTAATTCGACCAGTTTCTACACATTTTAGGGAGACTTTTTAATGAACTTCGGCTACTTTAAGATCTTCTTCATTCAGGATCATTCGTGGTCCTTTTCTAGCAGTACTTCCCATGACTTTCCTTAAACTAACTAAGAAACAAGAAAACATTGGACACAGCACAAAGTAGGCTGATTATCAGAGTGTCCTGTCAAGGTCTTAGATCTCATTACCAGCAGGTAGATGACACTGTGCAGAAAAACAAACAGCAGCGACGTCAGATCGAGCGGATTAGCGCCGAGGTGCCATGGGAACCTGCAGTGGAGTCTGGGAACCAGGGAAACTCAACAACTGAGGTCGCGCTCCTGTGTGTCACAGAGCTTTATGTTGAAGAATAACATAACACTGCCATGCTAAATACTCTATGTTTCAGTACTGAAGAATATCTCCACACAATCTGGCCTGCATCCTAGTGCACACGTTGTTTCATTGGTTGTCATGCTCTGATTACTTTATTTTTAGTGTTTTTCCCAATCACAATGTGTTTGTACGTTGAATTCAATTCTCCTGTTACAGCCGGACTTCTTATCCTAATGCACACTCTCAAGAAAAGAACCAATATTTGACTGACGTACTGTTTGTCTTACAGTAGTAGTCTTTCACGATAAGGATAACTGATAGCAAGTCAATTAATTAACATTTTGTTCATTAACTTTGCTGTGATGGTCTATTTAGGTCTAGATTTTGGAGTCAACTATCAGTGCCTGCATTACTACAGTTAATATTGCTACATTAGCAAGAGTATTACTACTACAATGTACTATTGCTACCAGGGACTAGCAAAACTATGACAATGAATGTAGCTATCAGGGTGTTAGTCCATCTTTCCAGACACTGATTTAGCAGGAAGGATTACAAACTAAACTTTACTAACATAACCAGCCTTGTTCAAACATTTTGAATTGTTTATGAAACCGTACCTCGTTCAGACCATCAGTGATGTTTCTTCTATGTATTCTGGAGGTTTCTTTAGAAATTGACCTTTAACAAGTGGAGTGGTTACAGGTAGAGGTCAGCTATCAGGGAATTTAAGCAGTTCAGTTGAATATTTTTGAAGTTTTAGGAACTCTACGAAACATTGTTTTATACACTGGTGTTGTTCCACTATTAAAATTAGAACAGTACTACAGTACTGTTTTTTCCTATGTTTTCTGGGTTTTTCTGGGTATTTTTACTCCTGTAAACATGTCAAACCAACAATGTTTGGCATGTGTGATTGCCGTAAAGAAAAACAGAATCCCTCTTTGTGTGAACCAGCGAGAAGAGGCCGTGAGAGAAAGTTACACTCACAAAGTCAAGGTTCCATAAATACCAGTAACACCACGCTGTCACTACATCCTGTGTGTCTGCTGCCACTCACACACAAAGGAATACAGTAAAACGGAGTAAATAGACGCAGCCACTTACGTGCATGCGAACTGTCGTATGCGTACACCGCCAGCGTTTGAAGACGCTGTCATTGACGGGTCGGTGAGAACACTGAGGAATCTGGTTCAGCTGCCCCAGTATGTGGTCTGAGGACCAGTCTTTGTCCATGTCGACTGAAAGGAAACAGAAACAATGATATACATTAGCATCATCCAACTATACTTCGGTTCAACTGCAGTATGTACTTTTAAGATCAAATAGAAAAATTCAACATTTTCCACAAAAACACTTTTGTATACATTACATATCAAAGGGAACAATGGAATTGAGGAAGACCTGAATTTCAGTTACAAGTTGCCACAGCAGTCTATGGGTCAGATTTATTTGAGTAAAAAATGACAGGTGCATTTACCGATAGCCCAGTACACAACCCAGAGAATGTCTAAACAATAATCAGGCATTATAAAAAAATGTTAACAATTAATGTAATTAATTTAATTTAAAAAGATTGAACTTTCCACAATGTGTAAACAGAATGAAAGAATAAATAATGCCAGCAAAAGTATCTAAACCCTATAACTTTTTGGCTCACAATGTCTGAAATTTGACTGGTGGGCAGTTTCAGTATTGGTTAGATATAAATTTAAATAAAATGTACAAGAATTATGTGTGCTGTCATTTAGAGGCATCAACAGAAATTACAGTCAATTTGTTGTAATGCATGAAATAGAAGGGTTGACATCAGCATTTACCTGCTACCAGTGTTTGGTGGGCTCGGTTAGAAAGGCCAGTGGCCCATATCTGGCCCACAGGCCATAGTTTGGGTTTGATCTAGACCTATGTGGGTCCACCAGACATGCTGGCCAGGATATTCACCGCGTGGATCAGGTTATACAAAGGTCAGACTGGTTGACTCTGCTTTTGTTTTATGGACAAATGTATGAATTCCTACACAGTGGTGGGACTGACAGAGTGAGGACCTCTGACTGTGAGTGACTTCACTGTGCACCCTTACACTCTATGACGCATCTCTGCAGTAGCCAAGGTGGGTCGGGAATTTATTATTCATCTTTCTTTAACTTGGTCACCACATTCTACACTCACACACTCACACACACACACACACACACACACACAGAAAACAAAAGTCTGTCCTGCGGCAGACAATAAAGCAGCTGGATTTCTGCACATGTGCCTTTGTGTGACTCTGAGGCCTTGTCATAACGCCATCGGAGACTTTCATCACACACGGACAGACATACACACACACACACACACACGTGCACTGGCAAGTCAGTGACTCACTGTGATCCATGACAATGTTGGTACAAAAGAATATTTCATTTGGTTATAAATACCACAACATGAAAGACACGCACAGCAGGGTGGAGGTCAGAGGGCACGGCGTGCAGAGGTGAAATCTTCATCATCCACGTCACCCCTGTCGGACATGGTCTGACAATCAGGTTTGCATTTGTGTCTGTGAACATACTATTTTGTCCGTTAGCTTCTTAAACGCATGTATTATTATTTCCAACACAAAATCTAATAATTCTCTTCCCAATAATTGATTAAAAAACATTAGTTCTCTGAGAAGTAAAAGCAAATGACTCAGTTTTGTCTGGACTTATATATATGTATATAAATACACCTTGATCTTTTTGACCAGGACTTGTGTTCAGAGCAGTAAAGGAAGCCAAAGAACACCACTCTCACAGCTAAAGGTTGAATTATAATGCTGTAAGGATTCCACTGCTAATCTGAAAGTTTTAAGAGATTCACTTTGGATAAAATCATCTATCTGCTAAAGGCATAGGTGTACGAGTACGATTCACTTTGGATAAAATCATCTGCTAAAGGCATAGGTGTACGAGTATATGTTCTCACAAGGTTCAACTTGTGACTGTTAGGATAAAGGACTAACCATTAGGAAACTGTGTTTGTTTCTCAATTTAAAGAAACATTAACAAAAGGTTCCAAAAAAAAAAGATGGAATCTTTATGAATACTGTGTTACAATATGTTTCTTTAATATAAAAGGTCTTGAAAAATACTTTTCATTGCTCATGCATTTTAAGTTTAAAAACCCTGTTTTTTTAAACCTTTAATTTATGGCTCTTGGACCTTAGTAATGTAGTAAAGTTTTTAAAAAGGCCTTAATCAGATAATCTTCTTCTGGTTTTGTCACCAACTCTTTTGCAGACATGTCCAACAAACACAATAGTGTCTGTGCATAGGGATTGCCCTGTTGTTACTCACTCTTCACTGAAGCCCAGACATCCCTCCCCCTCCACGGTGTGAGTGGTTTAAAGTTTCTCTAGCTGCTCTCTCATTGGCCGCTGAAGTTTTTCTGGGGGAGAATAACTGGAGAGCCGTGCGCTGCAGGGCGCACAGCAGCAGCAGAGCGCAGAGCGGAGCTGCGTGCCGTGTAACATCCCGTGTAATCCCATCGAGCTCCACTCTCGGTCAACAGGGGAAGAGGAGTCCGAGCTATGGAGATGAGCAGAGACAGAACGACAGTTTTATAAAGATTTTGGACGGGATTATCGCCTGGCTTTATTTTTTATTTATTATTTTAGGCATTTACATTTTTGCACACACCTCACTTGAAAATGCCTGCAGTGGCCGCATGGATTACCGCAGTTTGGATTTTACTTTTGGCCGTTCATGATGCGGCTCACGGCAACTACTCTGAGGACCAGTGCACCTGGAGGGGAAGGCAAGTATTAACGCTTCTTATTTGTTGCTTTAAATAGTGCACTAAGGAAAGTTGAAGTTTAATTCTCCTACTTTGTGACGCAACAGGTGTTTATTTTACAATCCCAGGCTTGTTTGTTTGTTTATGCGCTTTCGTGCCCTAAGGGTGGCTGGTGAAAACAATCAATGACTGTTTGAATGCAACTTGTTGAGACTTGTCATTAGCGCGCAATTAAAATGTTTCTGCAGCGGTGCTGCGGCTGCGCCTGCAGGCAGCCTGCAGGAGGCAGAGTGGCTGCAGACCAACAGGAGTCTGCAGGATTTACTGCGATTTTTGGAACAAATATTTGATGTGCACCTAATAAAGAACAGATTTTTAATCTCTTCTACAAATAATGCATGGAACCAAACCGACTTTTGGACCGATTTGCCACTCTAATATAGGCTTTTTCAGCGCTGCCAACAGGTGGCACCACCTTGGAAGTCATCACGTAATAATGTTGTATTAAGGCAGGATTTGTTGTTACTCTAACTTCCATTTGTCTCTAAATGGCAGCCAGTCAAGGTTACATTAGATCTGTGAAAAAGTCAAAGATGGACATTGACAGAACTGTCACCTTTGCATTGACAAAAAAACAAAACTAAAACAAAGTCAGTGAGAGTTTTGAAGATTAAAGGTTCAACCCATGATTTTTAACTCTCTTCTCCCCCTCTTCCAGTGGATTGTCCCAGCAGAAAGGCAGCGTGGAGCAGATCTCCCTCCACTGCTCTGAGGGCACCCTGGAGTGGCTGTATCCCAAAGGAGCCCTGCGTCTCACCCTCTCACCCCGCCTGCCCTCTGTGGCAGTGGGTCCAGGTGGTGGCAGCAGCTCCGGCCTCATCACGGCCTGCGTCAAGCCCTCGGAGCAGTTCCACGGAGCACAGCTCTACTTGGAGAGGGAGGGGGTCCTGGAGCTCCTGGTAGGGGACCGTCTAGAGTCGTCACCGCCACCTAGGGTCCGGTGCTTCAGCCGATTGCCTGGGGAGAAGGTGGCGCTGTTTCTGCAAGCCACACCCCACCAGGACATCAGCAAGAGGATTGCCTCCTTTAGGTACGAGCTGAGAGGCGATTGGACGGCTCGCCTGTCGCTTGACTCCAACAACATCAGCAGTGAAGGTGAGACAAGGATCCAGCTCTAGCTCCAAATGTAGAACTAGACCAGGAATTGTATTTTTTAGTTCTAAATTCCACTTTTATACAAATCACTCCTCAACCACAGCCTGCAGTGGGGACAACGCCGTCCACTTCTTATATAAACGGTCTATAGTTTCAGTAAAACCCCTTTTCCCTGTTAACTATTTGGTAGACGTAATGCTCTGCCCCACCCTAGACTATATTATGCATCATAAAGTCCTCCCTGCAGATGATTCATAATTGATACCAGGCTTCTGTGGGCTGGTTGGACTTTCCAAGGCCTTGGGGTGTAGAGGGGAGGAAAGTGGCCAAAGTTTCCCCAGAAGCTGGCTAGAAGTAGGAGAAGAGGAGATGTAGAGTGCTGCTGAGGAGGAGGAGGGGTCACAAAAGCACAGTATGTGGGGGGCACTCTCCAGAGTCCAGAGCACTTTGAATGGGTGCTGCATGAGTATTCTGGGATTACTGCCATCTCCTAGGAGACGGGGGAGGCCTCTGCCCAGCTGAGATGCTCCGCTCCTTTGTTGAGCTGCCCCTCTGTGGGGAGACTTGTCTGTAGGAGTACACTCTCCCCCCTCACAGCTTTCTCTCTCTCTCACACACACACAGAGATTAGGTTGGGAAGGGGCTTCAACTGTGGACCAAAGAGGAAGGAATCTCATTTATCAAGAGGTTTCCACTAAAGAGGAGAATGTGCGGTGGGGTGGGCAAGGGGCCTCCATAGAACCACAAGGAGAACTTTAAAAAATGCCAGGAGATTTTTTTTCTCACCACAATTCAGTCAGAACAGAAAACTAGGGCTTTGCTGGTTTGGGTTTAAATCTCAGTGTGGTATTCTGTCACTCCTGTTAGATTTTAACCAGTTTTATTAAAAAGTAGTATTTGATCCGAGGTGAATGAGGCAAAAACCTTCCTGTAAAGTTAGGATTATGGCATCTTGTTAAGATCTTTGAAGTTTCCTCCAACCCCCCCCCCCCCCCCCACACCCACACACACACACACCTCCCCGAGCCCCTGTTGGATATCTTTGATGAGGTGTGACTGTAGACACCCTGAAGGCTTCTGGGGGGAAGTTTCATCTGGCCTTTTAAAAGATCTGCAGTGGACTGGTCCTCCTCCACCAACTGTAAAAGTAGCAGCTGTCTGTTGGTGGTTGGTCTCGTCTTTGTTGATCATCTTTGCACATGATCAGGAAGCACCCTGTCTACCTTCCAGGAATTCACTATAATCATTAGCGTATAGGTGTTTGTGAGTTGTTTAGAAGTCTGTGAGGTCACCAACTGACTCCTTTCTTTGCTTCTCCTCCTAGATGCCTGCAGACCCTGCAACAACACTGAGATTCTAATGGCTGTTTGCACCAGTGATTTTGGTGAGTTCCCATATTCCGATCCTCTGTAGCACACAGCCAAACCACATGACAAACTTAAAACCAGATTAGCATATTAAACCAGGACCACCAAAAGGCAATAAGTCTGTGCAACAAAGCTGCAGAACTAAATGATTTCTAGCCAGGATTCACAAATTGAATCCCTGCAGCGGAGTAATCTACAGAACTCCTGATTGAGCTGTAAGAGAGAACTGATGTGGAGTTCAGCTAGCAACAAAGTTAAAAGGATCAATGAGCAGCCATCAGTCTGTATCCCACAGTCAGTCACATCACTGCAAATACTCACTCAACAAAAAATGTTCAGTTAGCTGTACATAAGTTACCCACAAAACTAAACAAAAAGTTAAATTTGTCCAAAAAGATAATATACACAATTTGACATACATGAGGAAAAGAATTAGCATAAAGTTATTCACAATATAGATAACATTTCCCAGAGGATAACCAAGGGCTAGATCAGCCATAGATAACCTAATGAGCTTAGCTTTCCTTAAAGCTTCCCCTAAAGTTTAGCCTAGTTGGTAAGTTGCTTGAATTAACAAAGAAATAACTCAATACAGTCAATGTAGAATCCCTGTTAAAATATAATGAGTCGCCCATAAAGCTAAACTGAATGCTACCAGACTAAAGGCAAAAAGACAGTGAAGATGTAGCTTCTAGTATTTTCTGTCAACAATGACTAAATATTTTTTTCTCTCGATCTACAGTGGTGCGTGGAAACATCCAGTCAGTGGAAGAAGACGAGAACCTAAAGGCAGCAGTGATCAAGGTTAGCGCCACCCGGGTTTTCCGTCAGAAGTACGCCCTGTTCACTGGCAACAGTCGCCTCACCAGCAAAGGCGACATCAGGACACTTTTGCAGTGTGGTGTCAGGCCTGGGCCCGGCAGTTTCCTGTTCACTGGTCGAGTCCACTTTGGCGAGGCCTGGTTGGGCTGCGCCCCCCGCTACAAAGACTTCCAGAGGGCGTACACTGTGGCCAAAGCTGCCCAGCAGATACCCTGTGAACTGCCCATAGACTGAGCTTCAACCAGTGACGAAGCTTGTCTCTCCCATAGAGTAAAGGCTGAACTAAAGCCAGACCAAACTAGTCCTGTTCCAGGTTTCGGAAAAGGCCGCAATGTGCAAATGTCCAGACGACATTGCCAAGGTGTCACCGATGGAACTTCCCAAAGGACTGAGGAGTGAAATGGACTCTCCCAACACCATTTCAGTGCAATACGCAGTCACGTGGTCCAAGAGAACCTGGTGGAGCTGCAACATGAGCAACGTGGAGGAAGCGGAGATTGTAAGCTTCTGGCATCAGACAGGTTTTTCAAACAGCGATGCCTTTATGCTGGTTCAGAGAAAATCTTTAGAAAAAGCTTTTCCATTTAGGGTAAATCAAGTTAAGGGATTAAGTCGGGCCTTTTCACACTCACAGCTTAGAAACTCAGGAAACACAGAAGAAAAGTTCCTCTTTCTAGTTGATATCCTGTTGGGGATTCACTGAAATCTTTTTTTTTGTTTTCTTGGCTGACATCTTCCCTGGGGTCATGCCATTCTCAGCATTAATATTTCTTAGCAGATCATAAAGAAAATTAAAAATCCTGTCAAAGGGAACAAAAAAAACATTTGCACTGATTAAAGAAAGGGATCGGTCTGGAACGACAGAAGCTGCAAGCACTAAAAACCAAATATAAAGAGGAACTATATGTAGCATAGAGGAGCAAAGGAGACATTTTAATATATGTACCAACTGTGAGCGCCTGCAGAGCTCAGTGCAGTGCTGTGAGCACTTTCATACTCGTGCCAACTCAGAGATTTTGATAAAACTAGATTAAAGCTCCTTATTTCTATGTTTCACTTCAGCAGCAGGAAAGTGTTGGAACTGGACCTTTAAACTGTGTCACCAAAGCAGCAGCAGGTCAACGTGTTGTCGGGTCATTTACTGCTTTGTAATAAGTTTTGGCATTTTCGTAACAGTGTATAAGAGAAAAGGGGCCAAATGGATTTTCTTTTTTAACAAAATTGTAATTGAAGAACATTCTCAGATATTTTTTATTTTTCTACATTACTTTAGACCACCTTAAAACACTTTAAAAAATATATATATACATAATTGTAAGGGGAGAATTATTGGGGGGGGAAATAATAAATAAATTATAAATTTATTTTAATAAAAATTAACACTTCAGCCATTTTTCTAAACAAACCTCTGTTCTAATTAATTGTAGTAATAATTCAAATTTCAGGGAAAAACAAGACAATACCAAGTTTAACCTCACAATCAATCATCTTTATTTAAAGTCATATTTCTAAAACAAACTGATTACGTAAACTACTATAAAAAAACAGGCATTTTTGCTTTGTAGGTTAAAATTCTGGCATAAAGGTTGTTATCCTGCTCAGAAATAACCCTTAAAAATAACATTCACCTGCACCGAGTCCTCTTCCATACTGATGTCAGTAAACAAAAACTTGGATTAATTGGAGGAAAATTAATAAGTAAGAACATTACAAACCTACACACTGGGTACAAAGATTTCTACATTTAATGTATGTGCACTACATCTAAAAGAGAAGAGGTTCAGACCAAACGACTACAACGTGCTGAAGTCTTCAAAATGCAAACACTGCCATTTTTCTGTTTGTGACATTTCCTCTGAATGTGTTCATATAAATGTGAATGTAAATATGTAAATAAGAAATTCTAGAAACAAATGGTGTGAAACCGTTGTCTCTTCATTGTGGATTATTTTTGTGTTTGTCTGATTTATTAAAAATATATACTGTAAGAAAATCACTCCTGGTGTCCTCTTT